GTTGCCGACATCTGGTGAAAATTTCATGTCATTAGCACCTCTAGTAATATATTTACTGAGAAAAATGTTGACGTGTTCAATACTTATTTTACCCGCTGTATAAATGGCGATACAGCTTTAGCTCCTGAGCTAATGACCATCAGATATGAGGATTAAGCAGAATTTGTGAAAATACAAAACTGGTTTAAACTCAACAAATTATCCTTAAATTTGGACAAAACTAGTAATTATGTGATATTTACAAAGAGACAAAGAACTGTTGACATTCCATTTAGAGTTGGTGGTGTACTGTGGAGTCAGTGAGGTGAGGTTTTTGGGTATTATTACTGATGAGAAAATGACATGAAAACCTCATATAAATTATTTAAGAATAAAACTAGCTAAATCTATTGCATTGCTTTATAAAGTAAGGGACTTGTTCATTGATAAAAAATCTCTGTATATGTTACATAACATTAATTGTTCCACACTTGGTCTACTGTGTTGAGGTATGGGGGAAAGCATGCAATGTACACATCCTGTTTTTATTTTGCAAAAAAGAGCTATAAGAGTCATCACTCGAAAACATTATCTTTACCCTCTAATATATTATTTTGTAAACTGAAATTCTATGATTTGATTGATTACAATATTTTGTTAGTTATGTATAAAGCACACCGAAATGCATTATCTTTAAATGTTCAGATAAATTTTACAAAGAGAGAAAGCTGTTATAATCTTAAAGGAATAGAGATGTTCATGAAACCTAAGTTTAGAACATGTTTGAAAGAACGATGCAAAGAGTGAGACTGTGGAATAATTTAGAAGACAATGTTAAAAGTGCCACATCAATATGCGTATTTATGAGAATGATAAAGACTGGACTGTTAAAAATATATAAAATGGTTTAATATGAAGACATTCACTTTGTTGTTCTAGAAAGTTTCAATGTTTTGCTGTGTTTTGTTTTGTTAACTGAAGATCCTTATAGTTTTAATCTATATTTGAGGAAATAAGAAGCAAATATAAGATTTTTTTCTTCTCTCTGCCACCTTTCATTTCATTTTATTTGTATTTTCTTTTTTATTGTACATAGAATTTTGTTTTGTGAAATGAATAAAGTTTATAACTTAAAGCCCAAAAGTAGAATGTGGAGAAATAGGCACATATAGGGATTTGATTTAAACGTGTGCAAAATTGCATTTTGTCAAAATATAATGAAATGCCTTATCAATGCATCATTTGAATGAACTGTCTGAAATGTAATCCTAAAAAAACATTTTGAAGCATTTTTTTGAGCAGTAGCAACAAAAAAAACAAACTAATTTTAAGGAAAAGTGGCTTAACATTTTGAAATTTTCCCTGTGAGTTGAATGTTTTTGTTTCTTTCCAACTGGGAAATCTTAATATACAAATACTATTTGAGGTTTCCTCTTTATATTAACATAAAAAAAAGACTCAATAAATTTACATAAAATTAGGATTCAGACCAAACAGTAATGTATTATTGTAACCAACAAGACCAGTTAAGTTACATCTCTGGATCCACTTATGACATCAGAATAATCCAGGTATCAACATGTAGCTTTTAAAGCAGGAATCTGAAAATGTAGTTAGGTCATTTTGACCTAACTACATTTTGGCTCATTTCAGTATGATGAGTCACATATTGTTGGCTCGGTAAGTAACGCCATATAGTACTAATAAATATATGGTGTTAATTCATATATTGCTGAAACTAGATGTATTAGCTCAGGCGCTATCATCTAATGTTGAAAAAGGACAGAGTCTGAAGTACTTTTGTGAAACCTAAAAAAATAATAACTTTGAGTTGTTGTAGTTAGGAGTTTGTGTTGTGAATTATTTTCAAATTTTAGCCCATCATCTATACAAAAAATGAAGTTTTCACATTTTTTTGTATTGGCTGAGGTTTGATGTTCATCTGCAATTGATTAAATTAAATCAAGATACACCTTAAAAACACAAATGCATGCATGTGTGTACAACTAAAATAGATTGTGTTAGGGCTCAGAGTCAGAACACCTCAGAACATTAAATGCGATAACATTATTTTCAAGGTTTGACCAAATCTATTATATCTTCATCGTTTCTCATTATCAGATGATATAAGTTGAAATGACGGGAGTTTGGGGACTGCCATTTGGGGAGGGGGTCCTGAAGAAGGGCGGACCGTCAGGTGCGGTCCTGGGCTGTGGGTGGGCTCGGGGCTTGGACGGTTGCCGGGGGCGGGGCTGGCTCTCCATCCTCCCTGGTGCTGCTTGGTCTCCTGAGGTGTGGCTCTTGGTTCCTGTGAGTGGCCCCCTGGCAGGGGTGGCTGCCGGGTTCCGGTGGGTGGACGGCTGGGGAGGTGCACTTGTTTGTTGGCGGTGTGGTGGGGTGGTCATGGGCATGGCTTCTCTGAGGCGGGGGGCTGGCCGGGCGTCCTGGTGCGGCCTGGGCCGGGCCTTGGCTATCTGCTCCTCTCCACCTCAGAATGATTGGGACGACCTCCTGGGTTTGGGTGTGTGCAGCCTCCAATAGGGGGTGGGTGCATGTCCTGGACCTGGGGGGTATAGAGTGTGTATCGGGGGTATGAGTAGAATGTGGCGTCCTTGTATGTCTTTGATTGAGTGTGGGTGAGGATGAGGGTGGGATGGTGCGATTGTGTATGTTTGGGTATTTGTCAGGCTGCCGTCTGGGCTGCCCCTCCTGCTGGTTTATCTGGGGGCCCGCTGCTACTCGGCCCCCCGGTGGGGTGTGCGGCTGGCCGCCAGCAAGTTGGGGGTTCCCGGGGTCTGGGGCTGGGCGCTGGGGTATGTGCCAGCCTGGCCTGGTGACTGCCTACTGGGGATTGGGGCCTCTGGGCCTGTCGGGCTTTGGCCTAGAGGGGGTGCGCCCTGGGGGCCCGGACCTCTGTGCCCTTTTTTGGATCTGCTCTGGTATGGCGGGTGCCATTGGGGCCCATGAGTTTGTTGCTGCTGGCCCCGGGGGCTGTGAGTGTGGTCGCTGGGGGGACTCTCCCAGTTCTGCCCTATGTTCTGATCTGTGGGGTGGGCGGATCTTCCCGTGTGGGTGCCCCTTGGGGCTCTGCGCTCGGGATCCCTCTCGGGCCCTTGGGCTCTGGTCTTCCCTATGTCTGCCTCGTGTCTTGGGGGTTGGGTCTTCGATCCTCTACAGTCAATATTAAATTTTCCATTGAAGAAATCTTGTATATACACGCATGTTCACAACCGCTCACAGACAGGTGTTCTGATCCGGGGGTTCTGACTGGTCACTGAGTGTGTATACTGTATGTCTGTGTGTACAGTATATACTGACAATATTTATGAATGTAGGCATGTATGTATATCTTTATATATGTATGGGTATGTTTATATTTTTATTTATGCCCTCCATGTATTTATCCATTTATTTTTCAGGTGAGCGGACAGATGTTGGGTGTGTGGTCCTGTGTTTTGTTGGTGTATATTTAATATACTTCTAATCACTATTTCAATCTTTCTATCTTTCTTATTACTTCTCTCTCTGTTTTTCTCTCTGTCTCTATAGAAAAAAAAAGAAATGACGGGAGTTAATATCCTTCAAGGAAGCCTTCGTTTAACAATGTTATAATCCTAGAAATGAATAAACCTCTTAAGGAAACAACAAGAGCTCACAGTAAATTAAACAACAAACTTGTGAACGTTTCAGATAAACTATTTAGTCATGGTTTAACCACACATTTGTTTCAGATTCAGTCTTTATTTGCCAAGTTGTCTCTGTACACTGTTCTGTGACTCGTCAAGAAAAGCGATGCAGTTCACAAGGATTTTAAGTGAGGGAACGTGTGCCTCAGATAAGTAGGTACATCGGTGGAAGTCAGTAAGGTTTAAGAAAAACAGTTTATTCAGCAGCGAGGAGGGGGCGGGGAGGGGTCAGGGGTGAAGGGTCACGTAGGAGATTGGGTTCGATGCGACCGGTTACTGCTGAATACGGCGGATGGACTGGATCTGGGGAGTCTGGCAGTGGGAGCCAAACTCCCTGAAGTGTTTGTACTCCCCACAGTGACGGTCACACTCCATGATATACTGGTAGCCACGGTAGCCAGGGTACTGGTAGCACACAAATCTGTTGTGGGAGTGGGGAAGAAGGAGCAAGACATGCTGTTATGAAAACCCAATCAAAAGTCCAACCCCAATTCTGAAAAGTTGCGGAAAATGTACATAAAGTCCAAATGCAATATGCAAACTTCATTAACCTATAATTTATTTACAGTGGAAGATAGTAAACATTTAATATGTTTAAAGAAGCTGGGACAACATAAGGCTGTAAAAAGTATGATGTGTATAAATAATAATTGACAACTGGTCAGTAAAAAAGTATTTTAGAGAAATAGAGTTAATCTGCAGGTGGTCAGAGGTTTAACATGCTGCAAAAAAACTTTCCAAAAGTACTTAAAATTTTTCAGTTTAACAATCCTCAACAGAAAACCTGGAAGATTTTGAATCTCACATCATTTATGGTTCACAATCTGATCAACAGATTATTATAATCTGTAGAAATCTCTGAGCTCAAAGGCTGGAAGTTAATACTGGATGGCTGTGATCTTTCACCGCATTAAAAACAGGTCTGGTTCTGTTCTAGAAATCACTTCATGGACTCAGAAACATTTCCACAGATCACTGTGAAGACAGTTCACCGTGCCATCCACACACACACACAAAAAAAAAAAAAAACAGATTAAAGCTCTATCATACAACAAAGTCCTGCTGCTTCTCTGGTGGTACAGGGATGCTGTGCCTTTGTCGTGGACAGTTTACACATCTGAAAGGGCACAAGCAATGCATAAAAAGCACACAGAGGTTTTAAAATAACATTGGTTCTCATTCAGATGATACGTTTTTCAGGGAAGACTTTGCTTATTTCAGCAAGACGATGTTAAACAACAGCCTGACCTCACTGTGGAAAAGTGCAGGCACTGAGCTGGGCTGGTCTGCCTGCAGACCAGACCTCTTGGTGCATTCAAAAATCCAAAATCCAAGAAAAAAGTCCAGGACTGTCGACCTAGACTCCAACATCAGTCAAGAATGGAATAACAAACCTCCAACAACTGGTCTCCTCAGCTCCCAGACTGTTGTTACAAAATGAATGTTTAAAAAATGTAAGCACTACTTTTTTTAGATGTGTTGCTGCCATCAAATTCCCTTTTCCCCATTTAATAAATACACGTTCATATTTGATGTGCTTACTATGTTCCATTGTGAATAATATGTGGAAACAATTGCGTTTTGTTACATTGTAAACAGCGTTCTAGTGCTTTTGAAATAGAGATTTTATGTAAAAAGAAGTTCCCCAGGGGACACTCACGCTCCAGACTGGACCCTGAGAGAGCCGACCTCATTGTTGCACCAGCCCATGGCCTGGAGGGAGGGGTAGTCGTCGCTGAGCTCACCCTTGCGGCCCATGAAGTTCTCCCGTTCGAAGATGGTCATACGACACTCTCTGTGGTTCTGCAGGGGTTGGGTGCAGCGAGGAGAAAGAATACAACCGACAAAGTTGTCAGTCCGGTTAGACGAGTTTACCTGAAACATCAGCTGCCGTCAAAAAGCAAAGGCAGATGGCAATGTTTTTGCCCATGTTCGTATGTCTGTTAGCAAAATATCTAATAAAGCCATTGCACAATTTTTTATGAAACTAAGTAATATTGCACATACGTCTATAACTGTGTAACGTTTGGAGTCAGTGAAACTCACCATGGCTGCAATCTTAGTAAACACAGAACGGCTGATGTAATTTAATTTTACAGATACTCCTTCTATAAATACCAGGCCTGAAAGCAAAAAGACTGATTTGTTGTGACGTACAGAGCAGGCGATAGGTCTGAATGAAGTCATCCTCTCGATATGATAGGCGTTGCTGCCTCCGAAGGCATCACACTGAGGGTACTCTCCCCTCTCCAGGATAAACTGCTGGCCCTGGTAGGAGGCGTGCTCATAACCCACCCAGCTGGGAAAAACAGGGAAATGTATTATTCTTATTATTCAATAAGAAATAAAATGTTTGAGTGATTCAGCTTAGTTGTGTCCACTAAAGTTGATTATATAAAAAGTGATCATTTAAACTTTGTTCTCAGCAGATAGTTCACAAGGGTAAAGAGGTCAAATGATCTTCAGGTCGTCCTAAAACCAGGTGAAACCCAGTTTGTTAAATATAACCTCTGCCCTCATGAGAGAACAGAAAGCATCTTTAAACAGTTTTTATTATAACACAAGTGATTTGTTTTTCCTGTTTTTTGTTTTTAGTATTGTTCTCAATGGTTTTTGCACTCTAACTTCTTCTGCAGATTTTGTTATTTTAGTCATTTAAATGTTCAAATGTTTAGCGCAGTTAAAAAAAATTGGTGCCACGACTTTGGGGTTTTTGCAACAATTTTTACTTTTCGAAACATTTCCATTTATTTACAGATGTTTCCCTCATAGAAATACATATAGATCTTTGAGAAACACTGTTCTCTTTCTCTACTTTTAATCTTCTTGTTCTACTTTTAGATTTAAGCTAGCCGTTTGTTGCTTTTACCGACCAGCTAGTCTTTTGCTTTAACTGTTCTTTGCTACATTTAGCTTCTAGCTAGTCAACGTTGTATAAAGTACCTCAAAGTGATACTTGAGTAAAAGTACAAGTATGTCATCATAAAAATACTTTGGTAAAAGTTAAAGTCTTCTGTAAAAATATTACTTGAGTAAAAGTCTTAAAGTATCTGATATTTTTTGTACTTAAGTATCAATGGTAAATTTCTGACACAAAATCTACTTAAGTATTAAAAGTAAAAGTACTGAGTAAAAGTGAGCAGTTAGATTTTCTAAAATGACATTTATTGGGAGGTGACTTCTTCAAAAAATATTTTTTCTAACAGCATGCAGCTGTGATGAGTTGTATACAAAGTAATACGGTGTCAGAATGGTATTTGTAGTTCTCATCCAACCACAATTAAATTCACTCTATCCAGGAGACACAATTTATCAGGATAGTATTTTTTAAAGTAATAACAACTCAGAATAAAGTAGGAGTAACGACTTTCTACTTCTTACTTTTTTACAAAATGTAGTGAGTAGAAAGTACAGATAATTGTGTAAAAATGTAATGAGTAAAAGTAAAAAGTACGCTGAAAAATAATTACTCAAGTAAAGTACAGATAACCAAAATTTCGACTTAAGTACAGTAACAGAGTATTTGTTCTTAGTTACTTTACAGCTCTGTATCTCGTATTTAGCTAGTTTTCCCTTTTAGCTAGTGTTTTGGTTCTGTTATCTAGCATTTTACTTCCTTTGGCCTTCAGCTACTGCCAACATTCACACTGCACTGTCACAGATTTTATTTTCTAGTTCAATAAAAGGAATAGTTTACTTGATGCAGATTGGTTAGTTTGGATTACCTAGAAGTACTTTGCTGCTTTAGTATATCATATTACTGTTTTGATGCAACACAACTCTGTTTGATTGTATAAAAGCAACAGAAATGTAGAGTTTAAACAAGACCCAGATTAAATTTTTTGGAGTGGATGTTAACACACACACACACATACACGTACACACACACACACACTAACAAGTCAAACAGCTTCCCTCCCTTGAACCTGGCCTTTCTGCAGCCCAGGCAGCTGTACTCACGCGCCACTCTCCACCCTCAGGGAGCGCACGGTCTCAAATCCGAACTCCATGACGTTGCAGCACTCAGAGGTGAACTCGTGGCGGCGGCCCTGGAAGCACTCCTCATCGTAGACGATGATCTGTCGGTGAACCGAGGACGAGTTAAAACAAGGGTTCTATAAACGGGCACCGTGCCCTCAATCAGTCTGAAAACTAGCCAGGGAGGATTGGTAATTGCACCGGCCAGTTTTAACAGATTTAACAAGGCATGTGAAATTAAGATTATTTCAATCTCATTACAGTCAAACAATGTAAATTTTTTAAACAACAAAATAAAAATGGAAGAGCTGCGATAAGCCTCTTAACAAAGAACTTCAACTATTAGAATATTTTTGTCCATTAATGATCACTGAAGTAAGGTAATTTATCAGTGTGCATTGCCAATGCAATGCACACTATTGTGATTCATTTCCCATCCAAGTCATCTCCACTTTGGCACACTTCTCCTCCTGCATACTTTGTCCTAGAGCTGCCATTGTAATTTAAATCTGTAAAGCTCCTGTGCCAAATGATTGCTATGCCTTTTGGTGCTTGTACAACCATAGTTTTTGAAATATTAATGTTTAAAATCAAATAATGGGAGTCAATGGAGCCTTGTATTGGTCCAATACTGCCCCATGCTGTACGCAACTTGGTACTGCTCCGTAGTTTAATAATATTTAAACTCAGTAGTTCAGTGTTTACAATACAAACATGATTGTATTTTGATATTTCACTATAATATTGTCCTAATATTCCTTTACTGTTGTAATATATTGCAGTTTAGTGTCAACAATTGCATTGGCAATTTGGCCTCTTTCAGCACACATATAAACCTAACACTGGGAGTGCCTACTGCAACAGCTCCTATAGTCTCATGGTGAACACTATGGGCTTTCATGTGGGAGATCAGGGTTCAATCCCAGCCATAAACAAAATGTTTCATTAAAACTGCATATTTTCTAATTGTTATATTCTCACACAATTACCCTCATTACAAACAACTGCTGACTTGGTAGGCACAAGCTGGTACTTGATTAGCAAACACATTTCAACTTGGTCACAGTTTAAGCTGCAGGCAAAGGCAATGCACATTTGTTTTTACATTGTAAAAACACATGTCTAGTTTCTTGTAAATCTCAACACCTCACACTTGGTGTTTTATAACCCACACTGGGGTCTTGACCCCAACTAACTGGGCTTACAGGACTAACTAGTGAAAAGTATTTGTAAGGCGACCGGGTGTCACTTCATTTTTAATAAAGGCTTATCTCCTTTTTTCACATTTCAGTTAAAAAAACCCCAATAACCATTGCATTTAAAACTCTTTATCTCCCCCTAAGTGACTGGCTGAAGTTTTTCTGTGTGGAGTTTACATGTTCTCCCCATGCAAGCGTGTTTTCGTCAGGTTCACCAATCAGTGCATGGCAAAGCAGCTAAAGGAAATGGACATATGTGTGTTGTGTATGTTGGTGGATAGGCAGTGCGAGGATCTATCTCACTGAGTGCTGAGATCATGTTATCTGGTCGCCCAGTTTAGAGTGTGATTGCTCAAAGTGTTTGTCATGAGTTTTGGAGGAAAGCATTATGCTGTAGATTAGAATGACTACCAGATTTTAAATCAACATACACATTTCCATCCAGTCAGATAAAAAAAACTCTAACTACCCCTCAACTTTTCTCTTTCATAAACAGCTATGCCTATTTTCTCCACTCGTGTTGTTGTTTTTAACACTGCACAGGGAACCAGTCTACCCATATAAGTCTCACTCCTCCACGTAAACAAATTGGCCCTTATTAAAATATGTAAACACTGATTTGAGTCCTGTTGGATCTGTTTTTGGGGTCTGAAATGGGACAGAAAACTGCGATTTGGGGACTCACCTTCCAGTGGCCGGAGAACTTGGTGCAATGGTGAGTCATCTTGTCTGGAAGGAAGGAATGAAAAGATGAGAGTAGATCATTAATGACCAATAAGTAAAAATGGATGCTTGAATGATGAAGATCGTCACGTTTTACCAAAAAGCTCTGGCAGTGTTCTGGTCAGAGTTAGAGTTTGTTTAAAATAAAGAGTTGAATAATCGTTCTGTAGGTGCAATAATGGTCTTTGGGGCCTGGGATGTGAATGGCTCTTGTGTTTTAGGGATGTTTTTTAGGGGGTATGGGTTGTGGCTCTGCTGTACCCTGACTTAGCTGCTGTGTTGGGGGACGGGAGACTCACCTTGTTTCGATGCTCTTGGGTCGTCCTGCCGTGAGAGTGAGAAGAGCCACGCGCCCCAACCCTTTTAAAGCCTCCCCTGGCAAGGGGCCATGCCCGAAAGGCCCAGCTCAGCAGCAGGGAGGGGCTTGTCTTTGTCTCCCGCCCTCTCCCATCTGACAAAAGTCAGGCTAATCTGTGGAAGGGGCAGAAGTGCAGACACCACAGTATCACTGGGGGGCAGAGGGAAACGGGAATATAAGAGAGATACAGCAAAGTGAGGGTGGGGGGACAGGAGGAAAAGATGGACCCGAGAGCCGTCTCATTTATTTTCACATCAGGCTGAGATGTGCTCAATAATTTTGCCAATTATTTTTCTGCTTTATTGGTTTAGTTAATTAATGTCTGAAAAACACAAAAACAGTCGTCTGTAACAAATAGGAAAAAACTCATTAAAATGTTCCAATTTGTGTTTAAACTCTTTTTTTTTTTACCTTCTTCAGTACTGGATGCAGTCTCATTGCAGTCTGACTTCATGACACAGAAAATGTACTCAGAGTTGTGAAGGAACTAAGTACAAATACTTTGTTACTGTACTTAAGTAGAATTTTTGGGTATCTGTACTTTACTTGAGTAATTATTTTTCAGCGTACCTTTTACTTTTACTCATTACATTTTTACACAATTATCTGTACTTTCTACTCACTATATATTGTAAAAAGGTAAGAAGTAGAAAGCCGTTACTCCTATTTTATTCTGAGTTACTATTACATAAAAAATACTATCCTGATAAATTGTGTCTCCTGGATAGAGTGAATTTAATTGTGGTTGGATGAGAAGTATAAATATATACCATTCTGATACTGTATTAGCGTGTACACAACTCATCACAGCTGCACACCGTTAGAAAAAAAATTTTTTTTGGAGAAGTCTCCTCCCAATAAATGTCATTTTGCAAAATCTAACTGCTCACTTTTTACTCAGTACTTTTACTTTTAATACTTAAGTAGATTTTGTGTCAGAAATTTACTTTTGATACTTAAGTACAAAAAATTTCAGATACTTTAAGACTTTTACTCAAGTAATATTTTTAGAGAAGAGTTTAACTTTTACCAAAGTATTTTATGATAGGATACTTGTACTTTTACTCAAGTATCACTTTGAGGTACTTTATACAACACTGAATGTACTCATTCGTGTGTAAGTTACATCATTTCAGTGATACGTACCAATTCTTCCCAGTAAGTACAAGATATGAACTGGCTTTGTATGTGGCACCTAACAGTTCCCTGTAAGTACTGGGTACTCACCTGGTATGTACCTTGTACAAACCCGGTCCGTGCCTGGTAAACATATTTTTCAGGTACATTCTGAGTACTTACATGGTGCATACCTATTTACCTTGTGTTAGTACACAAGGTATGTAGGTATGTACCTTGTTGCACCTTGTGCATTTAGCTGATATTAACTTTGCATACCCATTAAGTACCCGATTTTTAACAGATACAGTACATACATGGTATATACTGGGTACTGATTTTTTAAAGGGGCAATATCATGTAAAATCAACTTTTTTGAGTTTATATCATGTTATAATGTTATACGCTCATAAAAAACATGCCCAAAGCCTTGCTCTGACTCATTCATGCATGTTTGAGAAATCCTGCAGTTTTCAGGAAGCCATGCTGAGGAGCAAAACGACAGGTGGGGACCAGAAACGCCTCTGGGACGTGTCTTTAAGCAGAACTTCCTCATGGCAGAGCACAACCCCTCCCCCCTCCCCACACACTCCGCCCACGACTCCTGCAGGCTTTCGGGTGAAAGTGAAAGTGAAACTTAAACTGTCTGCTGAGCTCTCAACATTAGTTTTTGTTCAGTGAAGCTCTTTTCAGATTAAAAATACCTTTGAGGAAATGTATTTTCAGATGCCAAGTAAACTACACCATGGAAGCCCCGTCCCCCTCCCCGCACCGAAATGGGCAAAACAGAAGCGGAAGGTGGTTTTTAAAGGGACAGAGGCCAATTTCAAGGCATTTAGAAGAGGAAGTGATGAGAAGATAAGTTTATTTTCTATTTAAAAATAAAAACAGCATTTTAATAACAGCTAAAGGTGACGTAGATACTTTATTATGGTATAGTATTTAAATATATGCCTGAAAAACACATAATATTGGCCCTTTAAACATATAGGGTACTTACCTGGTGTTTACCTAGTGTGTATTGGGCACTTATTAGGTGATTAGATACCAGTTACCTACCTAGTACATATCATGGAAATACAGGGACCGGACTGTATCATGATGTCTTGGATATATTGTACTTGCAGAATATTTTCCTGGTATACTGGGTTACACAGGTACTTACCAGCCAGTATTAGATATTGCTTCTTACAAAGAGAATGCCTTTGGTGAAAAAAAAAAACTCATTAGATTAATTAAATAAAATATTTAGCTCATTTGTCAAACACCAACTACAATATCTTTCTCTTTGTCTCTGTCCCATAAAGCTCTGACAAGGTGAAGAACCTGGACAACAGTTGTTTTATTTACAGTATCTCCCATCTCACCTGTTGATGCTTGTACTTCCTTCAAAGTGGTCTCGGTGGTCTCATCTATTCTTCTTCTGTCACTCACTTTGGGAGAATGACCTTCTTTAGGACTTTCCCATAACTTCCTTTCTTGATGATGGATTCAGCCGAAGAGCTCCAGGGATATTTAGGGTCTTTTGTGTTCATCCTGACTTTTTAATCACATTTTCTCCGAGTTGATGCAGGACAGTCACTTTAAAGTGGATAAATATTTATGCAACCAGTAATTTTACATTATGTTTTTATTTTCTTGGTATTTATTTGTAATTTTTTTATTTCACTTGTCACAGAAGAGGTTTTATTTTGTCAATAAGGACGACTCATAACCATAATAATTTTATTCCATTAATAAAAACGTAGAACATTCAGGGTGGTGAATAGGCAGTACGGTGGCTCAGTGGTTAGCATCGACAACTCACAGCACGAAGGTCCTGGGTTTGGACCTGGGTTCTTTCTGTGCTGAGTTTACATGTTCTCCTCGTGCTTGCGTGGGTTTTCTCCGGGTACTCCAGTTTCCCCCACCCCACAAAAACATGTACAATAGGTTGCCTTCAGGCCCAGGCCTCCCTTGAAAAAGAGATCTGCAACCTCAACGGGACTTGCCTGGTTAAATAATGGTAAATTAAATAATAGCCTACTTTTTAATGGCACAGGGGATGTGTAATGTTTTTATCTCTGATTTGACTGAATTCTTGGTTTAATTTGAAGATTTTCAGAAGCTTAAAGGGATCCACGATTAGTTGTAACATTAAACTTTATTTAATAAACATATATTTTAACTGTGAAATAAAGACTGTAAAAATACTGTAGGCTGTTTAGTTTAGTAAATTTTTTAAGATATATTTTAACACAGAAAGAGCCATTTTATTTACACACAAAGCATTCTGGGTAAATGATGACATCAACTAGGTCATCGGTGCGAGGCTGCTAGCGAGCTATATCCACCCTGAAGGTTAATCTTGGACAATATCTGATGATCGACTCTTTTAAATGAAACCAGAGAGCGTTGACAGAGAGGAGAAGGTAGAAATGACTCAGCCTGTAACTGAAAATATGGATGGAGGACAACAGAGCTGCTTCATGGAAGAACCTCAGCTTAGCCTGTTAGCCTTCGCGCTAGCCCTCACGCTATATTTCCTTATATGTATTAGCTCGGTGCTAGCGCAACAAACAAGCTAAACTGAGGTCCTCCATCCATATTTTCAGTTGCAGGCTGAGTCATTTTTGTGTTCCCCTCTCTGTCATGTGGATGGAGGACCTCAGTGACGAGAGGAGAATGTGTAGCGCTGAGCTAATACATATATATGGTGATAGCGTAGGGGCTAATGCTAAGGCTAACAGGCTAAGCTGAGGTTCTTCTTCCATGAAGCAGCTCTGTTGTCCTCCATCTATATTTTCAGTTCCAGGCTGAGTCATTTCTACCTTCTCCTCTCTGTCAACGCTCTCTGGTTTCATTTAAAAGAGTCGATCATCAGATATTGTCCAAGATTAACCTTCAGGGTGGATATAGCTCGCTAGCAGCCATGCACCAATGACCTAGTTGATGTCATCATTTACCCAGAATGCTTTGCGTTTAAATAAAATGGCCCTGTCCATGTAATACATAAAAACTAATATGTGATACTATATAATAAAAACTGAACATCCTACAGTATTTTTACAGTCTTTATTTTACAGTTAAAGTATATGTTTATCATATAAAGTCTAATGTTACAACTTATCGGGGATCTCTTTAAAGAAGCATTTAGATCAATTCTCAGGTCAGCCAGATTAGAGGAAGTGTCAGAAATAAATCATAAAATCAGTGTCATCAATATGTTTATTGTTTATTTCAGTCTAAATTAGACATTTACATAGATATTTTCACTGATATAAATGTCATAATAAATTTGATTTGAGTTGTTATTGTTCCACAACATGCACTATGATCTTGATTCTGGTGGAATTCATTCTGGATAGCTCCTTTTAGCAGAATTCATGTGAACCAGTCGGTTTCCAATCATGGTTTCGGATTTTCAATGTCCACAGATTTTTAATAAGGTTTAGGTTCCATTCTACACATCTAATGTTAGCTTAATGTTAATCTGATGTTAGCTGAATGTTAGCCTAATGTTAACCCAATGTTATCCAGATTATTCCAATGTGTTTAGATTTATTGTCCTGTTGGAACATCCATGATTCCAACTGACCAGCTGGTGGTTTAGTAAGATGTTGGAGGTGTTTCATCCATTTTAGGGTCAAGAAGAATCTTTATTATCCCCAATGGGCAATTTGTAAACAACAAGAACTAAAACATTTATGCACAAATACACAAAAATCACAGATGTTGATTAAGAAATTGAACTACTGCTGGGATAAATGAGTTTTTAAATCCATTAGTCCTACATTTGGTCAACTTTATATCACAGCGTGAAGCTAACACATCTGTTAAAATAGTGTTTTTAGATTTGACTCCTCCAAACCTCTTGTTAGTGTGGTCACGTTTTTTCTGACCAC